TGCCACTTTCCCACCAATTTTGGACACAGCTATTGCAGTGATGTTTGCAGTTCTTGCTCCCTTTTTCAACCCTATCATCTATAGCTTTAGAAATAAGGACATGAAGATTGCAATTAAGAAGCTTTTCTGCCCTCAGAAGATGTTTAATTTATCTGCAGATTAATGCTAGATCATAGGCATCTTTCACTGTGGATGTTACTCTAACACAATAAACCATATAATTAATATATAATCCATTCGTTGTCACACTGATATTATGTATCTCCTTATCCTCATTCTTCCCATATACATGTATATCCTGCTTATGCATGCTAAATTAAGATAGCATGGACCTGTCTAGATTTATACAGATGGATAAACTCTGTAAAGGAAATAGGACGCTTAAGCCGTTAAACATAATTAATGTATTTTATGAACATTAATTTACTACTTGTATATAAACTTTTCATGTAAATGCTTATTGTAGTGCATAAGCATTAATAACAACTATGAATTATAAACCATGGTAGTTAAAAGAATCAGCTCTGTGGAAGAGGTTAAGGTTTGTATTTCAGTGATGCCGCATACTAGCTTTGTGACCTTGCACAAGTTGAAAAGTAAGTTGTCTGCATCTTAGTTTTATCATCTATTAGTATAAAAGTAATATTTTAAAAGTAGGACTTCAAATACTAATATGAATATTAAATGAGTTACTCTATGCAAGTGCTTAGAATATGCATGACACAGAGCATGTGCAAAATAGGTGTTCTCTGTTAATGTCTTTGCAACTAATTACTATCATTTGCTATTGATGTTTTAAAGAATGCTTTAGTAAAGAGTAATATATTAAAAACAAAAACTCATACTCAGGAATACTTAGCTGTGATTATTATTTATAGTATATTTGTTGTTATTATTTCCCTGGAGCCAAGTTGAATTCAAATTTCATTTACTTTGACTGCTTTGGTTGAATTCATCCAATTTGGTTGAATAAAATTATTTGGTTAAAAATAGTCTCCAGCACATTCTAAAGTGATAAACAGAGGAAAATAACAGATAAAATTAAAGAAAACTATTTGTGAGCTTGAGAATTCTTGAGTCATGGGATCAAAACAGACTGTTTTATATTATGCAAAATCACTGGAAATAGAATCTGGCCTGTTGACATTTTTGAATTAAAAAAAAACAACAACACAAGTTAGATAACCAAAATAGGTTCCCAAATCATAAGCAGAAAAGTTAGACAAAACTCAGAAAGTATGTTTTCCTATTTGAGAACTCAATACATATTTCCCGAAGAAGATGACATGATAAAAGCAATTAACCTTGAAAGAAAAAAAAAAAGAGAACTTTGAGTTATCGACAGATCAGTGGATGAAGCACATGATATAAATAATACTCTTGTGGAAGAAGATGAGATATTGATCGTCAATAGAGAAGTCAACAGAACCAGTGTGAGTTGTTCAAGGTAGGAAAGACCCATAGACACTCATGGCATGTGAAGTGTAAAACAAATAAAAAGACATGGTTTCCTCGCTTTCTTCAGTATTGGCACTAAATCCCCAGTGACATGTTTATTTTGAAACGGCCTTGTTTTCTGTAAAACAGCTTTTCAAGATGATCTTCTGGTGTTAGTATACTCTCTTCAAGGCTTTCCAAATCTTTCTGTTCATGTAAGAAGGACAGGACCATGTCAAAACTGCCCTTTGCATAGTACACTGGTAGTGCTGAGTACACTGGTAGTGTAAGCTTCTTTCTCCAGCACTTTCATGATGGTCTCAACTGTTCTTGAGACCATGGTGAAAGTGCTGGAGAAAGAAGCTCAGGAACAGCTGAGACCATCATGAAAGCACTGGGGAAAGAAGCTTACAAATTTGGGAAGATGAATACAATCGGGAAAGGTATATATATTTATTGACAGCGTTGATCTGAAAATCTAACAATGCAAGAGTAAGAGGGGAAACGTTCTGTTAATTAACCCCATGAGAAAAGGTGATCCACTTCAGTGCAGCGCAGGGGAAGAATCCCCCACAGAGCCCCTTTCCTCATCCTGTTATTCTCTAGGATGCTCTGTGGAGAGACTATAAATCCCTTTTTGAAGAGGCTGAAGTAATATCAAGGATGCAGGGACTCAGACAGACTGAGAAGTCCCTGTTTTTCTTTGGCAAAGGTGAGTGTAGATGACCAAGTCATGAAGAGAATGAATTCACTTGCTATGCATAATAATAATAATAATAATCTCATAACCTGAAGACTTTATTATTAAAGAATTTAGAACATCGAATAAGGGTGGAAGGCAAAGGCATTTATAGGAGGAAGTTCTATTCAGTGTGGGCCTGGGCGTGGGTATATATGAAGCAGCATGCCACATTTGTGATGCCATTTTCTGAGAGATCATCTAGTCCAGACTTGCTTGCGGCTCCCATTAGAACTGAATTGTTATACTTCCCTTTTCAAACAGTCCTGTTTTCTTAGTTCACATATTCAGGGCTGTCTTGTGCGTTTAATTATAATTGTACCAAATGGCTGAGTTCCAAGTTAATTTATTTAATACCCACCATCTCTACATACTAACCCTGTTGTAGTCACTATGAGGGATAAAAAACATTCACATCCCTGAAGGAGAAACTCACAGTCTAGAGAAGGTAAAACAAGTAAGTTGATGATGGAGCCTGATGAATGCTTCAATACAGCATAATGGCACTCAACATTTCCAAGTGTTCCTATATTCCTGACACAAAGGTTTTAAAATACATTTATACCTATTGCTAGAGGTAGTCAATCTAGAGGTGGGTCACAGTGCGTCTCTAGAGATTCAGCACATAAATTTAAATTCTGACTACGCCCTTCATTAGCTGAGAATTTCTAGACAAAGAACTTAACCTGTCTATGCCTAAGTTTTCTCATCTGTAAAATGGGGATAATAATTTTACCTCATTAGAGCATTAAGAACATGAGGTGAATATATATATATATATATATATATATATATATATATATATATATAATGTGCTTGGAATCATCCCAGCATTAGTGAGGCAATAATACCATATATTATACTATACAATTCTATTGTTGTTATAAAATGTTTAGTCTTTCTCAGGACCTCATTAACTAATATTAATATGTTCTCAGTTTTAAAAATGAGATGTTAAAGTCATAGAGAGGCTGAGTAACTTCATATTATGTCACAGAGGTGGCAAGCCATAAAGAGGATTTAAATCATATACACCATGGAATATTATGCAGCCATCAAAAACGATGAGTTTGGGTCCTTTGTGGGGACATGGATGAACCTGGAAACCATCATTCTCAGCAAACTGACAGAGGAGCAGAAGATCAAACACTGCATGTTCTCACTCATAGGCGGGTGTTGAACGATGAGAGCACATGGACACAGGGAGGGGAGCACTACACACTGGGGTCAGTTGGGGGGAAATAGGGGAGGGACGGTGGGGGGTGGGAAGCTGGGGAGGGATAGCAGGGGGAGAAATGCCAGATGTAGGTGATGGGGAGGAAGGCAGCAAATCACACTGCCACGTGTGTTCCTATGCAACAATTTTGCATGTTCTTCACATGTACCCCAAAACCTAAAATGCAATAAAATAAATAAATGGGGAAAAAAATAAAAAAATAAATGCTAGCAATTTTTTTCTGGCATCTAGACTTTTAACCAACAGTATATATTGCTTTTGAGTGAGGAGAGGGGGCCGAGCAGGGAGATGTAAGTTACTTTAAAGTCAGAGGAAGTAGCACAAACTGGAGGGAACTGTGATTTTAGAAAGCAACGTGAACAATGGGATTGCAGGGGAGAGAGGAGTGGGAGAATGTCAGCAGGCAAAGCTACAGAGAGTTAAGAGTCAGATAGTTGGTGTGAAGCTTATAAAAGAGAGATTGGTTGGAGAAAAACATTTAGAAGTATTAATGGTTTAAATCCTGTAAGTGATTGAGATCACTAAGAGAGCGTATAGAACTATAAGGTTGGAGTGGATGATAGGAACCTGGGGAAATAAACTTTTGGGAAAGAGTTTAAGGAAAACAACACAAATTAATATAAGACAGAAGAGGCAGAAGAAGAAAGAAAGTACAAATGCAAATAAATAAAATAGGAACAAAAGTCAAAGCTAGAACTGCCTTTGAAGCTGTCTGGGAGTCATGCCCCTTTAGAATGGAGTCGTGGAAACAGAGGACCAAAGTCTCAAAGAGTGTCAAGTGCCAGAGACGACTGGATAGTTTCCATTAGAAATTAGCAGGGCATTGTTGAACATGAGCAGAATAGTATCAGCTTAATGCTCGGGAGGAAGCTCACAGCAGTGTTAAAGGAGAATGAGAAATGCGGTGAGGTAATTGTGTCACTCTTTCCAGAAGTTGCCTGTCAAACACTGTTCAAATCTGTCTGCAGGTACTTACTAAATCCTACAGCATCCTTGTTAGATAGGTACTATTTTTAATCCCGTTTTGCAAATGAGTACTTGAGACTCTGAGACGTTAAGTAATTTTCCAGAAGACGTATAGGTAGTAATAGACTTACGATTTCCGTGTCAATTTCAGGTTTACATTCTAACACCTTAGAAAAGAGATTTTCAAAGAGCATGTGAACGACGGCCCAGTCGGGTTGGGAAAGGGCATAATATAACTTCTATTATGTTTATTTATAGTCATACTTTTTAATTTTACAATTTATTTTATAAGATATATATTTTTTTGTTATTATGTCATAATATAGTAAATGTGTATAACTTATAAATGCAGATATTTATATTAGAGATTAAGCTAAAAGTAATTTTAGCTAGTTTTTTTCTTACTATTAAAACATTTGGAGATGCCTATTTCTGCAGTTGTGCCTATGGAGGAGTAAGTATGAAAAAAATCAAATATTGCACAATATGTACAGTAGTTTAAAGTCAGAAAAAAAATGGAGCCTTCAAGTAGTTCTTTTTATTCCTCAAAGTTGTTTACCTGTACATCTTATTTATTTTTTTCTCCACCTCTTCATGAGCTGGACTATGCCATCCCCTTCATTCACCTTTACTAGAAATATGGAGAGCAGAAACCAATCAACAGTGACTGAATTTATCTTCACTAGGTTCCCTCAGCTTCAGGATGGTAGTCTCCTGTACTTCTTTCCTTTACTTTTCATCTACACTTTTATTATCATTGGTAACTTATTAATTTTTTCTGCTGTAAGGCTGAACACCCATCTCCACAACCCCATGTATAATTTTATTAGTATATTTTCCTTTCTGGAGATCTGGTACACCACGGCCACCATTCCCAAGATGCTCTCCAACCTCATCAGTGAAAAGAAGGCCATCTCCATGACTGGCTGCCTCTTGCAGATGTATTTCTTCCACTCACTTGGAAATTCAGAGGGGATCTTGCTGACCACCATGGCCATTGACAGATATGTTGCCATCTGCAGCCCTCTTCGCTATCATATGATCATGACCCCCCGGCTCTGTGCTCAGCTCTCTGCAGCTTCCTGCATCTTTGGTTTCCTTATCCTGCTTCCCGAGATTGTGATAATTTCTACTCTGCCTTTCTGTGGACCCAACCAAATCCATCAGATCTTCTGTGACTTGGTCCCTGTGCTGAGCCTGGCCTGTACAGACACATCCATGATTCTGATTGAGGATGTGATCCATGCTGTGACCATCATCATTACCGGTCTAATCATTGCCCTGTCCTATATAAGAATTATCACTGTGATACTGAGGATTCCCTCTGCTGAAGGGAGGCAAAAGGCTTTTTCTAGCTGTGCAGGCCACCTCATGGTCTTCCTGATATTCTTTGGCAGTGTATCACTCATGTACTTGCGTTTCAGTGACACTTATCCACCGGTTTTGGACATAGCCATTGCACTGATGTTTACTGTACTTGCTCCATTCTTCAATCCCATCATTTATAGCCTGAGAAACAAGGACATGAAGAGTGCAATTAAAAAACTGCTCTGTCTTCAAAAAGTGTTGACCAAGTCTGGAGGTTAATTCAGAGCCACAGGTTCTCTTCCATTGTTTTTGTTTTGTTTTGTTTTGTTTTTTTGAGTTGGAGTTTCACTCTTATTGACCAGGCTGGAGTGCAATGGCACAATCTTGGCTCATGATTTCGGCTCACTGCAACCCCTCCATCTCCCGGATTCAAACGATCCTCTTGCCTCAGCCTCCCTAGTAGCTGGGAGGCATGCACCCCCATACCCAGCTAATTTTTGTATTATTAGGAGAGATGAGTTTCACCATGCTGATCAGGTTGGTCTCGAATTCCTGATCTTAGGTGATCTGCCCACCTCAGCCTCCCAAAGTGCTGGGATTACAGGTGTGAGCCACTGCACCCAGCCCTTTCCATGGCGTTAATGTTTGTCTAACAGATTAGAATATGAGATTACTCTATACCTAGTTCTTTGTCACACTGCCATCCTAATTATTTTCCCTATACCTAGAAAAACATATTTATACTCTCCGTGTTATCATTATAAAACTTGCTGTGCATATCATAAAGAACCTCATTATGTGGCTTAATAACTGTAGTTTCTTTCTTCTGAAGTGCTGTGATTAAAGAAAATTTGTTTGCCACTTTAGAGGGTTAGAATTATAGAGTTTGCACTTCAGAAGCTGACAATGTACTCTGAGGTATTATGTCTTTAGGTGACAGATCTTAGAAAAGATTTTTTTTTGGTTAATTATGAATCATGGATTACCTGATTGGGTATTTCCAAAAATAGAGATCTAAGAAAAAGCCAAAACAATATTTAATTAATTTATATCTTTATTTTTAGTTATGTAGTTACCTATTCATTAGAATAATAGGCATACCTGTTTAGTAAGATTACATTATTAGTACTGCCACACATGTTTAAAAGAAAACTACAATATAGGATACTATTTACAGTGATATGCTTTGGCATCCACAAATATCGATTTTAGTTATGGTTTGCCCTTTCCAGGGTGAAGCATCTTCACTTTCTTTATTTACAGTTAAAAAAAATCTCTGGTGTACTCATTGAATGGTAGTTTCAAAAACACATATGATTAATTTAACTTTTTGACTAATAATTTTAGAAACTTTCCACTTCCTTCCATATCATCTGACATTGCCTTAATTTAATTTTCTATAATTATTTATGCACAATTATTGTAATTGTCTTTAATACATACAAGTAAAATTTTGAAATGAATATAGTGATTGTATCTCATGTTTAAATTTTCTTCTTTAACAAGTCCAATAAAATGACCAAAGCCTAGATCATATTAACTTCTTAAAGGCTTTAAGCCCAATAATATTAATAATGATTCTCATTTCTTATTGAGTGGTCCCCCAGTGGTCATGTCAACATGTGAACACAAACACACAAAACATAAAACAACCCTTTCTAACGTATATCACATTGCTTCCCCTAAGAAAACCCTAAAAACCTATATAAATCTTGACAAACAGAAGAGTGACTTCAACAGACAAAATCTAAATGGTTTCTTGAAGACATAGTAAAGAAAAAAATAAAATTCAAAAAAATTCAATAGAGGCAAAGGAAGGGCCTATTTAGAAGACAATTTGAAGTAATCTTTTCAGTTAAGTGTTGGAAATTCCATACTGAGAACAACTTGAATGGGGAGGTTGAAATTTATGAATATCTGAAATAATTCTAGCACATTAGGTGAGAAAGTTGCTCACCTACATATTTGTATGTTCTACATACTGAGAACAACTAGAGATGGGGAGGTTGAAATTTATGAATATCTGAAATATTTCTAGCACATTAGGTGAGGAAGTTGCTCACCTACATATTTGTTCTCTAGTCTTCACCTGGTGGATTGCATGCCATATAAAGCAGGGCTAGCTTAACTTCAAAAGTTCTAGTTTAAGTTCCCATAGCCATCTTTACCTGATCTGTGCTTGAAATAAAGTTATGGCATTTAAAAAGTCTTTTAAAATAAAATAAAAACTGAAGGAAAAAAATAAAAACAAAGGAAAAAATGCACAATGGTGATTCTTCATAATATACATTCACTATATTCCTTTTTCTATATGAATTAGAGCTCTAATCTAACAAGGAAACCATTAAAATTAAAAGCAGCTAAGAAAGGGGAGATGACCTTTCAATCCTACATAACATTTTAACCTGTTTCCTTCCTAATCATTTTAAATATGGTTCATATTAATCGTAAATAAAGAAAACAAAAACTTACACCAAAATACCTGTACTTGACTAAAGGTTGCACTTCACAGCCTCATGATGGCGTCCTCGGGAAATGTATTATTTTTCTCATGGGAATTCGAACCTGCTATATTAGCATTACTAGGTTTCTGGCAACATGAGTTGTGGAAGAGGATGGACCAAGGGTTCTGGAGAATCCATAGAGACAATAGAGTACAACTTTTACCCCAGTGGACACCTTTAGGAACTGTACTCACAAGTACTTGCATTTTGCTTGTTTTCAGGGTATGTCCCCTAAACCCCTTCCCAAATGCTTTGTATATGTATGTGTGTGTCTGTGTGTGTATTTAGCATGTGTCATTTGGAGGGGTGTGTGTGTGTGTGTGTGTGTGTGTGTGTCTGTATGTGTGTATGAAAACTACATTGAAGAGTGTATTTTCAGGTACGTGATGCAGCTTTGGACACAGGCTAATGTAATTTTTAAAATAAATATCTTCTGTTAATAATACCAAATCTTTAGCCATTAATCACTCTAAACAAGAGTCACAAAAATAATTTTAAATATATAATGAAAGCATAGAGAACTTTTAATACATGAAATATGTTAGTTTGTGATGGCAAAGTTAGTGATAATAAAAAGTTACAAAATATAAAAATGCAACGGAAGAAGGAGAAAATGGAATATTCCAGAAAACTAAACTAGAGATTTAGAATTTTGACTTCAGAAAGTGTCATAAAGCTCAAAAAATAATAAAGTGCCCTATCAAGACTGATGACAAGAAAACTAAATCCTAGAAATGTAGTATTAATGAAATAGATATTGCAGAAAGAGAAAGCATAGCAGATTGAGAAGAAAATAAAGTTGCTACAAGAGCTAACAATAAAAAAAATTGCCTTAAAACTAAATCAGACAACTATTTATGATTCTAACCAAAATAAAATAGCTTGTAGTAGACCTAACTTTTCACTGAAAATAATAAGGAAACTGAATAAACCAAGATTAAAAACTGCTTGGAGGAGTTTGACAAATAGCAACACTATAGGCACTTAATCCTCTAGACACTGGGGACTACAATTCAAGATAGGATTTTGGGTGGGGACACAACAAAACCATATCGTGCTTGCCGCAGGTAGCTCCTTCCCTTTCAACGCTAAACCCATATGAAGCCATGCCAGAGAGCCACTGGCTCAGAGAAGGAGAACATGTAAAGCTTACCTGAACCCAACCTGCTTGAAGCCTGGTGGCAGAGACTAGAGCCTGAAGTCTAGCCTATCTTATTGTTGCCTCTGACTTACAGATTTACTAGCACAAAGCTAAATAATTGTTGCTTTAGTACCCATGTGTAAAACGCTTCATACGTTACTGTACTCGGTTGTGTGTGTACTTCCTTTGACAATGTACCATTCTGAAATTGCATAAATTTAATATATAGTACTTATCTGAATATTGTCTATTGAGTTGTGTGTACTTAGAATTGTATTGTTAGTTAATTTTTAAAACAATTCTATCATTTTCAGAAAGATTTTCTGTGTCAAATGTGTTATTTAACCACACTCGCTGCTCATTTATATACTAAAGAGTTTTTATCCATTAAAGAGATTTTAGGTTATTTATAAATAGAACAGGTGCTGAAGATGTGAAACTGAGTGCTGGGTGGTGAAGAGATACAAGGCAGTCAATCTTTGAAAGTTGCATTCTTCTTTTCATAACATTTTCTTCATCATTTTTGTCGTTTGTAATCATCCTTATCTGTGCTTGAAAATAAAGTTATGGCATTTAAAAAGTTTTAAAATAAAATAAAAACTAAATCCAAAAGCTCCTCATATCAGTAGAAATAAGAAATACGTACAACAGATGGAAGAATCACAGAACATTTTATATTCTATAACTAGAAATGGCTGCGTTAGGTAAGTCGGTCAGTGTATCTTTGCCTGAAATCATAATACCACTTCTTAGTAGACATTTATTTAGTTTGTTTTGGGTGGAAAATTTATTGTCCTCTTATGAAAAATGTATGACTTCTTTAAAGGAGTGAGAAAACAGAGAAAACTTAGAAGAAAATTGGTGAATGATATAGACAAACAATTTAAAGGAGGATAAACTCTAAAGTCTAGTAATTACATGAAGAGATGCTTAAAAATCTTTATTAAGGCCAAGTGTTGGAGCAGATGAAGAGACAAAGAAATACATGCACAGCTGATAAGAAAGTAAACTGGTGTAGCCATTTTGGAGAGAAATCTGGTAGAAATGAAGTTCAAGTGTATCCTCTGTTTTAGTAATCTTGCTCCTAGGAATGTTTCTCAAAGACATTTTTACACATGTTTGTAAGTTGACATACATGAAGATGTTGTTCAGAATGTTAGGTAGTTGGAGACAATCTGGAGCTTCTTATGGGGAAAACAGGTACTTAACCTATGTCGAGAATAGTTCGGAGAATCACGCAGTTGCTAAATATTGTGAGCTATTGAACTTGAAGAAACAAAAATAATTCCTTAAATAATACTAAAAGATAAAAATAAGCAATACAATGAAATCAACACAGTTTACATAAATAAAAAGTACATGTGTATGAAACAAAAGTACGTGTTTTATAAAAATACATAGAGAAAATATTTGTCAAATTAACAGTGTATAGAAAAAAGAAGAATAAGTAAAATTAAAGGGAAATACATAAAAATAAATTTCAATGTAGATTTAGATGTAAACACATATTCTACAAAAAAACCCATGAAATCAATGTTTTGATGTTTGCTCTCTGAGTTGACAATGTTTATGTCTTTCCAAGATTTATGACTTTATTATTATAGTCACAGCATACAGATCTATTATTTTCTGTATAAAATAGCTGTAGTATAATATTCTG